TTTTTTTTTTTTTTTTTTTTTTTTTTTTTTTTCTTCTCCATTCATTGTGAAATGCAATTTCTATTATTGTCATTTAGATATTTGATTTTCATTGTGATTTGGAGACCCTATCACCGACCGGTCAAGCCAGAATTACACAACGGGGGTATATTGTCTCTGATCATAAATTTATATATATATACATAGATACATATATATATATATATATATATATATATAAAAAAGGAAGAGAGAGAGAGAGAGAAAGAGCGAAAGAGCGAAAGAGAGAGAGAGAGAGAGAGAGAGATAAGAAAAAAAAATAATGTAGATTGTAATACTGTTACGATTCATTAAGAAAAAAAAAAAAATTGAAATCACATAATATATCAATATTTTTTTACAGCATGACAATTGCATTTCTACCACCATATAGGACCAGTAGAATTCATTACTTACAAAAAAAAAAACAAACAAACAAACAAACAAACAACGTATGGATATTATATAACACGTCTGCTGTTGCTGCTGCTACAAAAAAAAATTCATAGATTTGGAATGGGAGCTGCCTCAAATCAAGTTGTTTTATCTCGGCTTAATAAATATTATTCTAGAAATGCACGATACGTAAAAAAAAGAAAAAAAGAAAAAAAAAGAAAACTATACAAACGTGAGATGATGCACTGTGATATATATATACATATATAGTTTAAACAAAAACAACAAGAAAACCTATCATTAAACAAACTTTTATTGATAGTAGTTATTCAACGTTATTATTTTCTGTTATTCCAATGAAAATTTCAGTAGTAGAACTAAACAATGAATTTGCCTATAAAAAAAAAACAAAAAACCAAACCCAGTGTGTGTATAATCCTATTTGTTGTTATGAGAGTGCTTATTATGGAGAATATTAGAAGCAGTAGGACAAATTTTATATTTAAAAAAAAAAAAAAAAAAAAAGAAAAAAAACATGAAAACTAGCAATAAATTAATCTACATTTCTTCATGGCTCTCTATAGATACAATATTATATATATATATATCTGCAGTAAGTTTAATATCAAACATATTTATATAATAATTGAATAGTTATTTTAAACTACCACCATGTTGTGTGATGATGATGATGATAATCTACTTAAAATTGATAATTAACTGTATAATTACTTATTTTAAACAAGTATTTAAACTAACTATTTAATGAGAATGAACGTATTTATAATGAAACTGATATTAACAATACTGAAAAAGAAAGAAAGAAAGAAAGAAAACAAAACAACAAATTGTTTCAATAACATTAACACTATAAAAAAAACAAAAAAATTATAGTGCGTTAATATGTAATCATTAATTTACATATCATGCTTATGGTGTGTGCGTGTGCAAGGTAAAAGCTAATTTTCTATGTTTCATTATTATAAATTAATGGGTGAGTAGTGGGGGTAAGTATTTCAAGTATTTTACTATTTATTCATATCAACAAATAAATATATTATTTCAAATTCAAATAAATATAAAATAATAAATTGATTTTATTTTTGTCTTTTTTTTTCTTTAGAGGAATAATTGTATATTAAATAGATAATGATAATCTAACATTATTTATTTGTATTATTTTCAACAAAAAAAAAAAGAAATAATACAAATTTGAACATATTTCATTTTTCATATTTTTCTTTTAATATCATTCAATACATTTTTAATTAATATTATAAATAATACGACGAGAAAAAAAAAAAAGAAACAAGAAACATTTTGTTAAATTAAATACAAATATATCAATTTTCTTATATATCTAATAAGTATTGACGAATCATAATAAAGCTTTAATTAACCAATCAAATTGATGCACACTTCTTTGGTTAAGAAGCGAATGTTCCAATAATAGCTCATGGCTTGATTTTATTCGTTAACGAATTTAATGTCATTGCTTATTGTTAAATTGTAATGTTTAAATTTGTATTAATAATATTTTTGTATCAGTGATTATTATATTTAATTTCTTTTTCATTATATAAACTATAATTACTACGTTGTTCTTTGATAGTTCTTATTATACTCAAAAAAATCTATTTGAACAATATGATTACATTACTTGATCACTCAAACATAAAATATCGATATTTATGATTATAGATCAAAATAAACATTTATTTCTAATAACAAAAAAAAACATATACATATACATATATATATAACGTATTAATAAATAAAAATTGATATTAAAATGTAACCGTTAATTTTCTATTGACAGTTGTACAAATGTGTTGTTAATGTATTATTTTTTGATATGGTTATGAGATTAAACAGATATTTTAGATTATTATATGATTATATGATTCGAATATATTTTTTATCAATTGCAATGTTGTCGCGAAAAAATAAAGATTTAAGAACAATTAAGGAAGGTGTAGTTGGTAAATATATTAAGAAAGAGACACCACCTGAAATGCCAAGTAAGATCAATTTTTTATTTCATATTATTCAATTTCAAACATTCAATGTTTACTAATTTACATTAACAATTATTATTTTGTTAGTTATTAATGTCTGGACGACAGAACCAAACAGAAGAGTAAGAAGAAGAAATCATCCCACGATACCATCTTCAATGGTAAATTTGATACCAATTCTATATTCATTTTTTATAGATATTAAATTTAGTTAAAAATCTAAGAAATATAATAATAAATAAATATATATTTTATAGTCTATCCCACAACAACCAAGTATAGTACAAAAGTTTGGAAATACAAAGACTACGATGAGTGCTGTTGGATTGGGTAGCCATGAAGGAAAATATACTCCTAATAGTTCTGTTCCAGATTTAGCACAAAGGTAATTTTTAATATATGATAATATTTATGAATTAATGTATTATTTATATTACATTTAATTTAACATTTACAAATGTTATTAATTTGCTATATTTTATTAGATTCACAGGTCTTTCTGTTAATACTGGATTAAACGAAGGTATATCTTCTCGTACTACAACACCATTATATCACTCAGGATTATCACCTGCTGCATCTCATACTTATGTCAATCAATATGCTGGATCTGAGTATCATTTAGATCGTGTTCAAACTCCACAAGTGTCTTATTTAACATTTGATGCTGACACTGGTTACGATGAATATAATCAATCAGTATATCGTCAAAATGCTGGGTATTATTAATAATATTATATTAATATGAATGATTATAATTATTATTTTTATTTAACTAACAAAAACTATAAACATTTGTAAAGATATAGTAGATGTCAGTCAGAAAGATCAAGTTCTAGAAGTGAACAACAAGAAGAATTACCTTTACCACCCGGTTGGTCGGTAGACTTTACACTTAGAGGTAGAAAATATTACATAGATCATAATACAAAAACTACACATTGGTCGCATCCTTTAGAAAAGGAAGGTTTACCAACTGGTTGGGAGAGAATAGAATCACCAGAATATGGTGTCTATTATGTCAAGTAAGTAATTAATGATTAGTACTATATTACTTTATTATGAACTTGTTTTTTTTTTATCTTATTTATAAATAATGATTTCATATTAATTTCAGTCATATAACAAGACAAGCACAATATGAACATCCGTGTTATCCGCACGAAGTACAAGCCATAAGAGTAGTATCACCTCCTAGACATACTCACTTTCATTCTCACAGTGTCTTAGTACCAGCTAATCCATATCTTAATGAAGAAATTCCTCATTGGTTGTATGTGTATAGTAGAGCATCTATTGCATTAGATCGTAAATTACGTTGGGAACTCTTTCGTTTACCAGAACTTGATTGTTTCAACGCTATGCTTACAAGACTTTACAAACAAGAATTAGAAGAAGTGGTTATGAGATATGAAGAATACAGGTTTGTGTAATATCATGATGTTTTTTGTTTTTTTTATATATAATATGTATATGTAAAAGTTAATTTAAGCAAATAATATTTGAAAATTTCAATAGATCAGCATTATTGTGTGAAATGGAACAAAGATTGAAAGAATTAAATCCTGAAGCAGGAAATTCTTCATCTGGTGCAATAGCTTTACGAAGATCTCTTCCTTAAGTTTTTTTTTTTTTACATGATACGATTGCAGACATCTTATTGACTGACTTATTGGTTCCTTTATTAAATTAATAACAACGAATACCTTGATATTCTTTGAATTTGTAAATAACAGCAATATATTTACGGTTTTAATGATATTTTAATATTATATACATCTTATACAAATACTATAGTATTATACATCTTATACATAATATATATATATTCTTATTATCACACTTGTAATAAGATTAGTATTTTGAACTATTAATCAATCAAAATCATGAGATTCTTCTTCAACAGGAGGATTTAAAATATTTTGACGTATTTCATCTATTTGCTTTTTATCATATATAGTATTTTCTACAATATTGAATCCTTTAAAGCGAATAAGTTGAGCTGTATTAGTATCTGAAGTTGATAGTGTTTTTAAACCTGTAATATTTCATAATATGAATTTATTATGTCGTCTGAATATATTTGTCAATAATTCAGTATAAAAGTTAAATAAGATTGTGAAAAAAAATACCTCTTGATATGCCAGAAATTTCCTTCTTATCCCTTGTAAACAAATATATACCTATTGCAAATCCATTCCAAGCTAATGCTGCATAAAGGAGTGCTATTCTAAAATGTATTTTTTCTCTCTGTACTGGATTAAGACTTTTAAAGAAACGTGAAAAAACCATTTTTTTTTTACGTATCTAAAAAGAAAAAAACAAACAAACAATACAATTATTTATAAAAATTATATATTTTTATAAATAATTTATTGACAATTTTTACTCATATATTTTATAAATTTTCCTGTTTGAATAGATTTATAGAATCAATGAAAATGTTGTAAACAAAACTATTGTGATAACCTATAAACACATTATTTTGTATTGCTTATATTTTTTACTTTTTTTTTTTTTTATGTATGTATTCTAATCATTTTTTTTTAGTACTGTATTTTTATAAATTGTTAAAAATCATTAGATACTTGTGAATATTGATATAAATTATTTTTAAACTAATAAGATGTCTGTCTCTGTATATCAAAACTTTTATGTAACAATGTTGTCATATACGTATTGACTTGAATATATAATTCACTTAATGTTTGATTTATTAACAGATACAAAATTATTTCACTACAGATTATTATTATAATATTATTTACATTTTATATTAAACATTAATATTGAATATTTGAGTATACACACAAAACTTGAATTTATTTTAATTCAATGCACTTTACCTATTCCAATCAAAACTATAGATGTCACTATAGATGACACTATTGTGTTCTCCAATGCAAAAGTTTAACAAACGTTCCTTTTAAATAAATTGTAGATGAATATTGACAAATTATTAATTTGTTAATTAATATTACAATTCAATATTGCTGTATTTACAGAATCATTTTATTGAAAAAAAAAGAAAAGAAAAAAAAACAATCAAATCAATCATGCATCACGCTGTTGACCAATGCAAGTAGTGTTACCATTAGAATATAATGCAATGTTTTTTCTTTCTTTTTTCTTTCTTTAATCATCGTATTATTTATTATTGTCTCTTTCGAAAAATGCATAATAATTTAAAGATAAAGGTAGAATTTATTCGTTATAAATATCACATCTATGTTTATTAATTATTAATAGAAATTAAAATTAGATAATAACACGAAATTATTATTATTTTATTTAACATTCAAATAAAACTTTAAATGTTTTAATCATGGATAACATGGCGTCTACTCGACCTACGTTTACTCAACATGTTGATCGGTAACGATACAGTGGATTTTGCTCAACAAATATCAACTAAACAAATACTTATATTATTGAAAGTATTAAACACGGCTGTCTCGAAATTTATTGGAATATTCTACTTGTTTATGAGTACTACTTTGTATTAACAAGTAGTTATGGCAAATCACTATGAAGTTCCAAACTGGTGTGTGTGAAGTTTTAATAATATTTATAATAATTTATTCCAAAATATATTATATACATATATATATATTGACTTGTCCTTATAAAATGGATGTAATAGCTTTCGAATATATTTATTCATGAATAGGTTATGTTTTCAGGGCTGGTAAACCTCCAGTTGGTTTACATTTGGATGTATTAAAAAATGATAAATTAATACAGGTAACATAACATATTACAAGTACTTAAAGTCACTGTAAAAGTACAATACATATACATATACATATATATATATATATATATATATATATATATATAAATAACAAATATCATTTTTATTATAGAAATTAATGGTCGATGAAAAGAAATGTTATTTGTTTGGTCGCAATCAACAATTAAATGATTTTTGTATCGATCATGCTTCCTGTTCTCGAGTTCATGCTGCACTTGTATATCATAAACATCTTCACAGAGCATTTTTAGTAGACCTGGGCAGTAGTAAGTTATTAGTTGATTAACAAATTATTCTATAAATACATTTGTATATTTTATGATTATGTATTAAAGTTATTTGTCATTGTTTATAGCACATGGAACATTTATTGGTAATATGCGTTTAGAAGCACATAAACCAACTCAACTTCCTATTGATACTACATTTCATTTTGGAGCATCAACGCGATATTATATTATCAGAGAACGACCACAAACTGGTTCGAGGGCCATTATTGAAGAATTAGAAAAACTTTCAGAAGATGCAGAAACTGGAGGTTTATTAGGTTTACCTGAAACAGAAACGGAACTTGATGTATGTATCTTCTTATATTAACACACAATAAAAGAAATAAATAATAATGTAAAACATATAGTAATTAATAATACATTATAATTTTTAGAATTTAACAGAATTCAACACAGCACATAATCGACGTATATCCATGCTTGGTATCTCGGATGATGAAATGCATAAAAGTACAAGAAAAAGAAAGAAAAAAGGTATTACATTTAATGACGATGAAGAAGTTATTAATCCTGAAGATGTAGACCCATCGGTTGGTAGATTTCGTAATCTTGTACAAACAACTGTAGTTCCAAGCAAGGTTTGTTTACTCATAATTACAAATTGTATACATTTATATGATGAAATTATTAATTATTCAAATAAACTAATGTTTCTATATTTTACAATTATAGAGAATGCGTATGGAAGGTGGATTGATATCGTTGTCAGAAGATCACCATCCTTTAAAACATTTACAACCAACGTCAACCGCACCACAGCTTTATCATGATCTTCCACCAGAACAATTTACACCTTCCTCATTATCAATAAATCCTTTTTCAACAGCTTTAACATCATTAACATCTAGACTTGGCATTGCATTACCAAATCCTGCACCAGAAGTTGAAATGACTCCAAATCTTGTACAACCCGAAATACCACAAATACCAGAAATTTCAGGTCCCACAGAACCACGTGCAATGGAGCCTAAAAAGAAAAAATATGCGAAAGAAGCATGGCCTGGAAAGAAACCTATACCTACGCTCTTGGTATAATTCTATTAAAAATTTTGTACTTTTTGGAACTGCGAACATCAGAAACATAGTTTAACTCTTTTGTTGCTGTATTCGTTATAGGCTTAATATATGTGAAGACTGTTATAATTTAATTAAATAATTTTTAGTTATTCTTTATTTCTTCATAATCCCTTTGTAACAGTCACTTGTAATTAAATCAATTTTATGTAATATTAATTCTCATCTTTAATTTCTGTGCTATATAAATGTTTATAAGTAACGTGTATATATATAGACATATATATATATTGATTAATAGATTATAATTTTAATAATACTTTGGTATCTGTGACAACAAAATTTCAACAATCAACTCTTTCCAGTTTTATCATACAAAAAAATAGACAAATAAATATTATATTCACTTATATAGGTATAATAAACCTATAATGTTAATTTGTTAATATTTTAACTATATGTACAATTATACAAATGATTAAAAAGAGAATAACAAGTATAAAATAATTACATTTCAAATGTGATAATATATATTTACTGTAAAATATTCACATGATAAAATTATTGAATTTACTACTTATTTTCTGTGGCACTAAATAATTATTATGGTACAAAAACAAAGGAATGTTTCAAAGTGTGATGACAAAGAATTAGTGTTGATAATCATATAAAATCAGTATTAAATAATATTGTAAAAATATTCATCTATCATGATTAAGATAATACTAATAATTATGTACTAATTTCAAATTTTGAAGATATATTTATAAATGATTTATTTAAGTATAAAAATGTTTTTATTTAGATTAATATTTCCTGATTCTAACGACGTATATATAAAAAAAAAAGAATTTAATATATTAATATTAATAATGTAATTATATCAAGCTTTTATATTATGTGTTAATATTTTCTATAGAAACAAATTGAAGTTACTTTCAAAACTTTATGATATTTAAATTTCGCGCCAATCATTCCAATACCATCGTTCCCTCTGTCGACAATATAAAAATGTTTTATATAGTGCAAGTGTTTACATCAACAACACGTGCTAAAATAAAATTAAATAAAAACATATATCAAAATAATTGATAATTAATATAATAATTAATTAATTTTATTTTTATATCGTAATAACAAATATATCTTAACTTGACCGTATTAATTTATTGAGATATATCAGAGTGAAAGTTTTCTAACCTATAAATTAAAGAATTTTGTTATTCTTACTTTATAAAATATTTCGAATTACAATTAATGTAATAACATAAAACTGTGATTTAAAAGTGTAATATTAGTTAAATCACCTTTAATAATGGCAACTACAGAAACAAATCCTGGCTGGGCAGATGCTATTCAAAAAATTTTAAAAACTAACAAACCAAAAAGAAAAAAGACAATAGTGTTATCTAAAGCTAAAAAGCTTAATGAAGTGAAAAAGAAAGAAAGTTTACCTGTGGAAACTGATACAGTTGAAAATAAAGAAGAAAAATCAGATATCACTGATGGTAAAGAAAATCTATTATTGAAAAAAAAACCAAGACAGAAGGATAATTTAGGTATAAGAGTGAAACCATCTATTCTTGACAGAGAACGTGAAAGACTTCTTCAAAAAATTGCAACCAAGTATAATTTCCATTGATTTATTTATTATTTATTATAAAGATATAATGTTATATATATATATTAGAATTGTTAAACAAAATTGTAAATTTTGTTAGAGGTGTAGTACAATTGTTCAATGCAGTAAGGCAACAACAAACCGACACGAATCAAAAATTGCAGGATGCTGGACCCTTAGAGAGGAAACGTGAACAAGTATTTAAAAATATAGATAAACGTGCATTTTTGGATGTACTTATGGGTGAATCCAAAAGTATTCCTGTAGACAAAAATATTCCAAATCAAATTGAAGAAGATAATACAGAAAATGTAAGTTTGCACTATTTTTATCTACTATGAAATATTATATTATAATATCATACTTTAATATTTTTTTTTTTTACAGAAGGAAGACAAAGTATGGTCAGTTTTAAGAGATGATTTTGTTATGGGTGCAAAATTGAAAGATTGGGATAAAAAACAAATAGATGATGAAGAAGATTCTTCAGCACCTGAAGATATGGATGATAATGATGATGATGATGATGATGATGATGAATAGGAAAAACAAATAATTTGATTAATTATTTATATGAAATATTATTATTAAATATCTTATTAAAGTTTTTATTTGATTTTATAACGCCTGGCTTAATAATCCTTTGTAAACTACGTGATAACAATGATAATGTATACAGTATATATAATTATTCTGTATAAATTATAATTATGATACATGTTTGATTTCATGTGAAGTTAAACGATTTATCGTGCAAGTGTTATGGTCTTAAATTAATGATTAATTAATTTATATATATATGTACTCTCTCTCAGAGTACAAATCTTATTTAGTTTATTCTTGTTTTTGATTGTTGATTTTTTTGTTTGTCCAAATTAAACAAAGAATAGTAAACTTACACAAATAACATAAATGGAAAACATATAATTTTTATTATAGGATAAATTATGTGATTTATACAAAACTTTGAAGATATTAAGCCGAATATTAGGTGCATACACAGACTTCTGTGGACGGACTGAACTAACGTTATCTTGACAACAACTCAATACTTTTATTATATTACACAAAAATGAATAATCAAGGTTTCTTGTGTAATATTTAAAAATTTATTATTATTTTTTTCTTTTTTTCTTTCTTTTTTTTTTTTTTTTTTTTTTAATAGATGTTTATTTTTATAACAATTCTTTTCTTGATAACAATTTCAATTTATATTTATTGTACATCCTGTTCTAGTTCCATTAAATCTGTTATTTAAGCATAATTAAATGAATCTTTCATTAAAAGTATATTAACATAATATTTGTATAGATTGTTTTTGTGACATTAATGAGATAATCATTAATATTATTATTTTATGTGTGTGTAAAACTTATTACATAGTTAAATATAAATTCATTGAAAATCATTTACAATAAATACAGTTGTTTTATAATAAAATGTAAAAAAAAGAAAAAAAAAACAAATGATTAGGCACTGTACTAATACACATAACTTGTTTGAGTCTTATTTAAATTAATTGATATTGATATCACCATACACTTTCATTATTATCTATTAAAAGATATTGTCAGGCGTACCTGGATCATTTAGCGCCAGAATATTTGAAGCAATTTTTATTAAAATAAATCTTATTTTTTTTTTTTTTGGATATAATATATAATATAATTTAAATTTAATTTAACAGATTTTAAGTAAAAATTGATCAATTATTAGATATGACATATAATAGTGATATATATATATAATAATAATGTTCACTGAATCTTCTTAAAGGAAGTGTATTACTATTGCTTAATGCAATATACATATATATGTATATATGTATATTATCGCACACCAAGTAGAAAGGGTTTGTAACTTGAAATTTGATATTTAATATCAACAAAATAATATCACTCGCAATAAATATTTATATATCATAATAATAAATATTAACCTATTTTCTAAACATTTCAAATAACAATATAATATATATATATATATATATAGATATATATATATATATATATATATATATATTATGCATAAGTTATATTAAGAAAAAATAGTATGCTTTTTTTTATGTTTAATGATAAATGCGTTCGTTAATATATCCTCTGCTTTAATAATCGTAAAAATCTTTCATATAAATTTGAAGAGCTTTTATCGGCATTTATTCATTATTTCATTAATTACTACTTTATAACCACTGCGTGTGCGTTTTTATCATTATAATTAAGTGTATCAGAAAACGAATGAATTTTTGAAAGTATATAAAATAATGAAAAGTAGTAGGGCGCGATGTTAGCATACAATATCCTAAATATTAATTGTCCAAATTGGCAATAATTCATCAGACCCTACTCTCGCGAATATCAGCAAGAGCACCAAAATTACCAGCAGCAGTAGCATCATCATCATCATCATCAGGATAACTAGAATCTTCATTATTTTGCGTTCTACTTTCATCCTCGTTTCGTCTGCTTCTATGAAGATACCTTACATTTGGACTAGCTTCGTTGTTTTGGTTAATTTCGTTAGTTTGTGTATTTTGTAAATGAACATTTCTTACACTTGATTGTTCTCCATGATATAATTGCGATTGAGACATTTCGTTGACCCTATTTGCATTACACATTTCATGTGGAACGTCTAAGGAAGTCTCAGTTTCGTGAGTATTAACATGTCTGACAAAAGCAACACCAGGTTCATCATTGTCTCTAGAAACACGTTCTCTATTCGTATTATTATCGTTATTTATTCTTGAAAGACTTCGTGCACGATTTCTCGTATTCATTATATCATTTTCTATTGCTACGTTATCAGATTCGGGGTTTGTTATTTCATCCACTCTATGGGAGTATCTTTGTTCGTTGTTTCGATTAACATTTTGTGAATTTAAACGATGATTCTCATTATCTATTGTATTATCTCTTTGATGACGATTTTCATTTTCATGAAACAATTGAAACGTAATACCATCGTGCGAAGTTCTATAAGTATTTAAATTAGTGTTGCTTGAAACACGATGAACCATTTCATGGCTTAATCTATATAGCCCTAAATCGTTGTCCATGTAATAATTATCCAAAGGATTACTTATGATAGATGGATTTCTCGAGACAGTTCTTCTTGGAGAACTTGGACTAGAGAAAGTCGTTATTAAAAAAGGATAAGGTAATACGTTCGTAGGATTACCAACTATATGAGGACAATCTTCTAAACTTTGCATTTCGATTTCTTCTTTGTCGTTACGACAAAAATCGTGCATCTCTAACTCATGAGGAAGATTAGCAAACCTACAAAAAAAATGAATGTATTATTAGGCATTTAATTTTAAGAATAATAAATATCAGTAATTACAAATCTTGTATACCTATGCAATAGAATGTCAGAATACGAAGGCGGCATATCAGTCTCTTCTTTGCCGTAAATGCTTTCGTAAGTAGGCGGTGGAAAACATGCTATAGATCCTAAACTATCTTTACTAGGAGTTTCAGCATCCATTTCCAATATACTACCCTGACTGTTTTGCAATTGATGTCGATTAATACTACGTGGATTTCTTTGTGCACGAAGTACACTATCACCCAATTCAACCAAATCCAAACCTGTAACAACATGAAATAATAGGTAAATTAATAATTAATTTTAATTAAATAGACAAATAATTGAAAATTAATTTTATAGCATCTTACCAGTTGGATCAGCCTGAAACTGTGTGAACATAGTACCATCAACCACAAGCATTCTACCATGTGGTAAAAGAATGATCGTTGGTGTAGCAACCATCGTTTGATCGCTATTACCAAAACGTGAATCTGGTTCAGGATCCTCCAGACGACAACAACAATGTCGTCTACAAAGTGATCGACAGAATGGTGCACCCCAACAACAATAAGCAAAAATAAAACACAACACAGCCAGCATCACCAATAATGCCGCAACTCCTTGACTTTGTTGTCCTGCAGCAAGTGTTGGTCCACCGGCTACGCCGACGCCAACACCAACACCGAAACTTCCACTGCTACTGCTCATCTCTCCTGAAAGGTTATCATATATTTTTATTTATTATTTTATAAARAATGATTTATTATATAATATAATATAATATAATAATTTCACACGTGTCTAGTATCTTTTGAAAAATGAGATTCTCCCTCGTGTGGATAGCCATTTTGAAATAATTGAAATTCAATATGGCGGAGCTAGTTTTCCCGCGCTATCTTGAGTATTGTTATGAAGATAAAATATATATATATAAAAAAAAAAGAATCGATATTCAAATCAACTAAGCTGGAACCGTGCCCATCTTTCTTATCGGATGTCACTTGTATACAGAAAGTATTTTTAACTTGGAATATAATATACAACAAGACTCGAATCGATTGCATATCATGTATATAATTACTTTAATGTATAACGTTACTTCCGTCTGTCATCAAAATATCTAATTTAAATATTACGTTCAATAAACATTATCCATATACGATTTATATTATGTTATAAATAATAATTAATAATTTTTCTAATTAATTAATTAATATATACTAAGTATACATATAACTATATTGATTAAATTACATTTATATGTATGAGTACGTTTTAACACAGTGATGCAACTAATACGTATAAGTAAAATATTCTGCAATGCGGCATAAATATACTCATATAATCAAATATTTTGTTGGCCTTTCTCCAGTTTCGAATAATTCAGTTTTCATATTAAACGTATTAATAATATTATATCATTAAATGTCTGTTAACAAAATTGTTTTTTTTTTTTATGAATAGTTAAAGTGGCCATCAAAGGAATATAATAATACCATATAAAAATAATTCTTTTTTCTGTCGTAAACAAAATCCAATACCAAATATAAAACGTCAAAACTCTCTCTCTTTCGTGCTAATTATACAGGTTATGGTTTTTTTTTCTTTTTTGTTTTTCTTATAAATAGAAAGTAAGTGAAAGTGATTTTTTTTTTTTTTCATACAAAAATAGAGAACACTGTATATTTTGTATTCTAATGTGTAGTATAGAAATATTTTAAAATACATTTCTCGAACAAATTATTCGTTAGATGAAATTGAACAATTTTGTTAAATCGATATCACATATTACTTTTGGTTTGTCATGTTGATGAATGAAATGTTTAAAAAAGAAAAAAAAACAATACAAAAATATAATCAAATATCAATTGGGAATATTATATTTTAAAGATTTACACGATGCCCGCATTATGCTTCTCGTATACAATATTGTATTCTATAAGCGAATTGCTGTTACGTCCGCGCCGACACTTGGCGCACTTGAATAGCATACAAACTACTGCAAAGTAGAACGTGTAAGATTTAGAACGAAAGAATTTCGGAATCAAATAAGCAACTAAAATAATACAAAATATATTGAAAACAAAATTCTTGCTTTTTGTTTGTTTTTTTTTTTTTTCATTTTATATTATAAAAATATTAAAATGAAAAATTCTTTGAAGAAAATAAATAATTGAATATAATTTTAAAAGATGACAATATATTTTATGCGCGCGTAAAAATATTGTCATCCGAATAATACGATCGAATCGAAAAATAACTGATAAATATAAAATATCACTTAAATTAATAAGTCTTTTGTTAAATCAAAAAACAAAAAAAAAATAAATTAGATCTTTTATCTAACAATTTGAAAAACTTTTCTATATAAGTTGATATTTATTAGGAGGATTTTTTCAAGTTCACATTTGCGTGTCACGTATTAATAATAACACAGTTAAATACAGGTGCACAATTATAATTCCAAAGTTATCCCATAACTGCACAATGACATTGTCTGTCTCACCTTGGATGGTGATATTGCGAAGCCAAGTAGCCCCCGTGGTTGCAGTTGACTCCTCCGTCACAGCTAATGTTCCGTAAATCATGAACGAGGCCGTTAAATATTTTCACAATCTTCCACCTCACTAATGTCTTTTATTCTCTTTGTATTATTTACTTTGTTTCCGTTCGTCTTGAATAAAAATTATCTACTGTGCCACTACTGGTGTCGTCGTTGTAATTATTCTTTGATCGACCGTACTCGATATCGTTCGAGTTCACCCCCTGCAATTGGAGTACAAAAGGAGACCACCACAACGATCCTTCTTCATCGACATTTTTTTCTCTCGCAAACTTAATATTGAGTGCGCTTGCTTAAAGAAAAGAGAATATTTATAAACCTTTTCTTTTTTAAAACAATGTTTTCTTCAATTATCACTGATGACTAAATGTTGGAACGTTGATAAAAAGATGTACACAACAAGGGTACATGTTCCATTCTTTATTTCTTAAACACATTCCACCAAACAACAAATAAATTTCTTCTTAAATGTTTTAACGAGTATGTTCTTCGTTTTATTTAAATACCACCGACGTCTCATTTCTTTAGAATATTATTTTGTTCTTCTTCTTCTTCTTCTTTATGATGTTAGAGAATCCCTCTCTCTGATGTTAAGATCGTTTACTTCAATTGTGTGCAAGATATTCAATATTTTCGTTGGTTTTTATTCGTTTGCCGTTGTTAACACCCCCCTTAATTATTATTTCATTTTCGTCATAGCTCTAAATGAACGGCGATCTTTGGATCGACCTTTACTCACCACTTTATTGAAAGAAGTTCCTCGTAAGAATACGGAACGTTGAGTCGAGCCTTGCGCACTGCCATTGACACGAGATCCATTTTGACCCTCGACCCATTTTACTACCACCTCTCTCTCCTCTTCCTCCCTCTCACCACTTTTTCATCAACCTGCTGCTTCGAGATCTAACGATACGGCTTCGAACATTCTAAATTACAAAAACGGATTATTCTTCTCTCATTCGTGCTTTCGATTTTTTTACATTGATGGTGAGTCCCCTTAACTGGTTAAAATATATCATTCTTTTTCTTCTTTGATCACTATCATTCTTTTCACTTTCTATTTGTGCTTAAACAATTGTAATTAACAAAAGTTATTAAACAATCTTACTGTTTAAATAATCTAAAGAAATAGTTTTGGAAGAAATGTAGATAATATTGATCACTTTCAATTTCGTGTATACCTTCATAAATGCATCTTGCAATACGTCGATATTCTTTCCCCTGGGTAGATATACATATATATATATATCTATATGTATATGTATATCTATCTATATGTTTATGAGTTTTACATCAATTTCAGACCCTTCATTCAAATTCCTATATCTCACATCCTGACTGCACTTGAATAGCCTTATCCATTTTGAGATTCTCATTAAAATGCACGAATGTTCAAGGATATTACAAGGAACGTGCTTCTAAAAGCGTAGATCAATGGTTGACACTGTCACAATCGTTATTTTCTTTTTATTATTTTACATCGACGAATATCTTAAATAAATACATCTATCACTAATGTTCTTTTAAAAAGCACGATTTAGAAAATACATTATAAAACGAATGTCAATAAGTACGTTCGCTTCACAATGGGAGGTACACATGTGACGGTTTTCTGTATAATCGTTGAATCGATAGTATCGAGCATTGTACGTAGCAAGCATTAAATGTAATATTTTTTTTTTTTTTCGAATAAAATGTTAAATAAAAATGTATGATTTTCTCTTTAAAAATACACATGTCTTATGTCATTATCAAAGTTCAACATAATATATATATATATATCATTGTTATTTGGATGGACATTGTAATGTGATATATGTATATATATATATATATACATGAGGAAATTTACATTTTTTTAATATTATATTAAATAAATTTATTGAAATTTTTACCAATTAAAAAAAAAAAAAAGAAATACAAATAAATTAGTAAAAAATAAATGTATTATATAAATATATACATATATATATAATTTCTTTATATTATTTATTTCTTTAAGTTATATATTTTTGTTAAATAGTTTTTTATGATACAATAATTATTCTGCTAGAATACCATTAAGCCAAAATTCAAAATGTAGAATTTCTGCCTTATTTATTTCATGCTTTGCTGTTGGTACTGCAACAAATGCTGCATTTTTAACAAATTTGTTAAGATTGGTATAAGTTTCATTCCCCCATTGAATTGGGACTAATATATCCGAAGAACCATGAAATTGTAAAAGTGGTGGTAGATTAGTTGGTTTATTATTTTCTAAATGCTGTAATGACAAATTTAATTTGATGTAATAGTAAATAAATAGTATAATGTTATAATTAAATGTACAAAGTAATAATTTAATCTTCATAATAGATATATAACATATATATATATACATACCTGATATACCATTGAATTTCTATTAAGAAATGATGATATTGTAGCACAACCACCTAACGATAAATTAAATTTATATGCTAAATATAATGCCAATGATCCACCCATTGAAAAACCAGCAACAATTATTCTATTATATGGGATTCCATTAAAATGTTCTTCATCTATTAACTTCATCACGTTATGACAAATTGATGTGATGGAATCTTCTTCTTCAGAAACTTTATTTGAAATATTTTTACGATTAAACCATACATTGCTAAGCTATAAAAATATAACTTTTAATGGTTACGTATTACAATAAAGTAACAACGGGGGTACAACACAAAAAAAAAACAACAATTTTAAATTTGATATTACCATTCCATTATTTGGCGTATAAGGTTGAGCAGGTGCAGTAGGATAAATTATTTTTATATGAGGGAACTTTAATTCTTTTCCGAGTATTGCATCAATCCATGTCTTCACATTTTCTCCAGTATCTCCTTATATAAGAAAATTAGAATGCTTATATGTTTATTCAAAATAGAAAAACATGTCATTAAGTCAAATTTTTTTTTCTTTCTTCATTATCATTTATTTTCTTATCCTATCTTTAATCATTTTATTTAATAAATTAATTATTGTTATTTACCAGAACCATGAAAGAAAAATAAAGTAGCAGTGTGTTTTTTTGTAGCTGGTACAATTGTACATCTTGATAGCATCATAATTGTAGCCATTTCTTTATTATTTTCCTTTTTATCAATATATCGTTAATTTTAACAACTTTTCAATATTATATTTATAAATGACAATATGAGTGTCAAGGTTATGACAAAATTTAACAAAGTATTGAGTAAGTATTATAAAGATTATTAAACACTTTGATAATATAATATTATTTACCAATAGCACTTTGGAACCAATAGCAAGAATTATTTATTCTGAATTTTTAATTTAAATATAAGGTGAATTCTAATAATTCAAAATGTAAGATGTAATACACAAATCAAATATTTATTTAAAAAAAAAAAAAAAAGAACAATTACATTTATTTTAATTTACATCTATTTTTTATTACAAATTTATCTATTATAAAAACATATTAATGCAATATATTATATATAAATACACGATAAATAAGAATATAATATATACATTTAGAAATAGAAATTGTCATGCTTATAACTTGAACTGTATTACCGACCGTTGTAATATGTCCAACTCTGTCGGTAATTTAGTTTTGTGAATAGAAACTTTTCTAAAGATAAATATGATTATACATTATTTCATATGTATATATAGATTTTCTGTTTCTAAATGGATTACCAATTTATTTATTCGATAAATTTAATAGTAAGTATTTATATATATATCTTTCAGTGATCTGATCATCATATTTTTATACTAACAATAAATTTGTTAATACATAATTTGTGTATAAAAATTTGATTTCAATTAGAAAAATTATGAATATATACAATGTTTCTATTATTATTTTGTAGTTTCCCTTGGAAATAACTTGTGAAGAATATAAGCTGTGATTTTTCTTCTTCTTCTTCTTCTTCAAAAAAAATATTTTCAATTAACATAAACAAGAAGATGGATTGAAGTGAGTATAATAAAATTTGAAAAATAAGTTTATATAATTTTGATAATTATATAAATCATTAGTGCATACATTTAAAAGAAAAACTTATCAAATAATTATATATTTCTTTTATGTTATGTTATTCATATTTATGTTCTATATATATATATCATTTATTTATTATTGTTATGGTTATGTGTATCCTAGCAAAGATATGTCTACTTTGATATTTGGCATTGGTACGGGTTTGTTCTTGATTCTAACTTTATGGGCAATTGCAATAGTAACTTTTTTAATATCATTACGAATAGAGAAGAAAATTGGTTTGGTTATTATAATTGTCATAGGTCTTCTTACTATAATTTTGTTCAGTATTCCTCGAGCTTCTGATAAACCTAATGTCAATGAAAGAAAGGTACGTAAAATAAATAATTATGTTTATTGAATTAATTTCAATTGACTTGATCTTGCTTATCTCTAGCCAATATGCTTGAATACTTTTATCATCTGTGTCTCTAATTTTATCTTATCCATCATATTATCTTTGGTATAATTATATTGTTTTTTTTTTTTAGCCTTATGATCATCTTTTTATTTGGCGTATAATATTATTTACTTTATTACTGATTTCATCTATAATTGGAATTTTGGCATATATCAAATTTCAATTAGTAGAATCTGTCAGACCTGTGCGAATATCTAATTGGATTTTCTAATTATTAAAGGTACTAAATCATACATTATCTATTATCTTAATTTAATGTGTATATATATATTTATATATTTTTGTATCATAAGTTATATATTTTTTCTTTGTTGTTATTTATTTCTAGATTGCAAGCTTGATCAAATCTGTCCAGTGAATGGTCCAACTACAAATATATTAAATATAATATTGTATAAACAGATTAGATTTTTGTTTATGTTAAATAAAATTAATAATAATGTTGCGAAATATTAATAAAACATTTCCAATGTGGATACGTCGTATCTCGTTGTCTCATCAAAAGAAAAAAGTTTATGAGATAAATGGTAACATAGAATTTAATGACAAAGTAATGAATGGTAAAGGAACAGTTGTTGTCAATTTTCATGCAGATTGGTGTGATCCTTGTACAATATTAACACCTAAATTAATAGAACTTATTGAACCTATTGAAACATTAGATCTTGCTATTATCAATTTAGAATCAAATCCAGATTTAGCTGATGTATTTTCTGTAAAAGCAGTACCAGCAGTATTTGCAATATCAAATGGATTAGTTTTAGACAAATTTATTGGCTTACAAGATATTAAAATGATTGAACAATTTGTAGAAAAGTTAACTGCACGTGATACAGCAGTTAACTCAAAGATTGAAGATAATTCAGTAAATTTGAAAGTGGACGATTCTACAAACTCAAAAGATGGTAATGTGAAACCATAAGAGCATGTTTATAATGTATATACACGTAAATGTAGTCATATATGTAAAACTATGTAAATGTATGCATACATATTTCTTTTATAATTAATATTTATGTAATATTTTTGACAATTTATATCTATTTTATGCTATTATTTGTAATTATATTAATATCAACTCATATTAGATATATATATATATATACATATAAAATTAGTATTTAGAAAGAACGTGGATAATCATTAATGTGTCTTTGTATTCTTCTACTGAGAATAGCTTTCTATAAAATATAGTAATATTGTTCCTATAATGAACAATTATTAAGGATACTAGGGATTAATTTCAGGAAACTGTGGACCATGTAATTTTCCTTCTTTTATATAAATATATATATATATATAACAAATTGTACCATTAAAATATAGTATTACTATTGTATAACTAACTGCACTTGTAACTTATAGTGATTATATCGACAATGCTCTCTTGTAAAGAAAAAACAAATCTATTTACAATTAATTTAATTTAAAATGTACTTTTAAAAAATGTGAATAATATAATAATAATAATAATAATTATGTATACTTTAAAAAAATAAATTATTATAGAACTAAAGTAGAATTCTTCTCTGGTTTCTTAAGAACACAACATGATGTTCTATTATTATTTATTATGTTTTTATATAATAATATTTGATCATATTTATATAACGTAACTATAAAGTTGAATTAATTTGTTTATTTACATAAAATATCAGTTAATTTTTTTTTTTTTTTACAATTAAAGATATTTATTCAAACAGAGAGTGCACTTGTGACAATCATTTATTTCATACTTTTATTATGCTTTTATATTGAAACTTAGATTTGTAGATGGAATTAAAAATATATATATATATATGTTAAAGAGATTATTGAAATGAAAAGTATAAATGTAATATTTAAATGCAGGTATGCAAATAGAGTAATATTTCATTCGATTAAAATTTGATATTTATTCTTAATATAATAAAACAATTCTGTACAAGCTATGTATGAAACTAAGCCAGCAATATAATAAATTTATCAATCCATATTATCTCTAATAATAGAGCTTGTATCTTTTCGTTTCGGCAGCAAGCAATATGTAAGTATTATTAATTAAAAGACTAGCTAAGTTTTTTTATCAGTCAGGTGTATTTAAAACACCATGATAAGGCATTATTGTGACTCTTCATTTGATTACTTGCAAAAACGTTAGATTTTAACATAATTGAACAATCAGTTAATAAGAAAAATGTATAGCAAAATTTTTAAGAAATTTTTGCAAGTAATCTTATAATTCTTATAATATAGATAACCAGTATATATATATATATGTATGTATGTACGTATATATATAGGTTCTGTAATATACATATATATATATATATACATTCTATATATATGTATAGAATATACATATATATATATATGTATATATTCTGTAATTATTTAACATTTGCACTTAACACCTGATCTGTACTAATATGGAAACAAAATATTATTACAAAATTTGAATTGGAATATCTTAATATTCAAATGAAAAACTTTCAATATAATATTATATAACATGCACTTAATTTGTTGTTGTTGTTGCGATAACAAAATATTATACAATATGTTACAGCAAATGAAAGAAATGTTCTTAATACTATTTATTATTTCTATTGCGCGTTTCTCGAAATAATAATTGAAAAAAAAAAAAAAAAAAGAAAAAAATGATGTTGCTCATAAAAATAAAATTTATGTATTATTTAAATTACAGATAAGATGTTATTGGTATTTAATTTACCGATATGTATGTAGAGGCAAAATGTATGGCCCCATGAAATTATACCATTCATTAGATACATTTGTGGACGCTTTAATTTTTGCAAATGTTATCTTATTATATACAATTTACAATTCATCCCTAGCAAGTAGTTTAAAAAAAATATAACAAAATGTAGAAAAACACAAATGGTTTTGTTTGTTTGTTTTGTTTTGTTGTTTTTTTTTTTTTATGTACAATTTTTCTAATGATGCCTCTTGTTGTTATTCAAATATATTCATTCTATTATTTAATAATAACAGCAAAAATATAGTATCTACTATATCATACCTGAATTATTAAAATTATGTACATTTCTAAAGTCACAAAATTACTGTTTGAATGAATATATATTTACAATTTTTGTCCTATAAAAGCAATATTACAAATTATTTAACAACAAGTAGCATCATATTTATATACTATTTCGTAATTCAACTAATAGTAATATAATACACAATATAGTACAACATGATACAATTTTACTTTGCACTCCGTATAACTCAATAATTCTTTTTTCAAAAAAAAAAAAAAATAATGAAGAAAAATAGTGTTTCTGTATAGTTGTTGGTTTTAGTTAAAAAGTATTAAAATATATTTGTCTATAAGTAAGTTGCATATGCTCAGGATTACATATTAGTCTATTATTTTTGTTGTTGATATTAACGATAATTCTTGATTCTAGTCAAAGAAGGAATATTATTTAAATGAGAGAAAAAAAAAAAAAGAATTATTCTTCAAACTAAGCTTGATTTTTTTTGTTTTTTTTGTATCAATAACGAATTAATTGAAAAATATTTCTATGACTCAAAATAGTCTCCATTTTTGACTAAGTTGGAATGCATTTACCACAATCGACATTTTAATTATATTATTGTAATATATATATATATGTATATAGGTTAAAAAATTGATCTATAGAATTATCAGAATATGGATTTTATAATATATGGAAAAATATTTGACTAAACTTCTGCACCCAGATCTCGTACACCTTGTTCTGCTATTGGAACATATTTATCGTCGATTTTAACAAGCAATATAACTTTGTCAACGTGTGACCGTCGATTTGGATCACGATGGTTTGGAGACCAACGATGGACAACACACCCTTCCATTCCCCTTTCTGGTACCCAATGTTGCCAACCAGATCGACCACCTTGCTGTCTCATTTTTTCATCTGGCCAAATCACATCTATTCGACGACCAAGATTAATTGCATCATATACTTGATTTGGGTCCATAATCTATGAAATTAATCAAACACAAATGGTTAGTAGAAAATAAGACAAAATATTCAAGATAAATCTTGATATAGAATATTTTCGTATACTTACACGAACCCTTTGAAAAACTTCTTCTTTGTCAAGTTTATTAGAAAAACTTGTTTCACTTTTACTTTCAGTTTTGATGTCAGTATTACTAAGAAGTCCAGCCAAACTGGCAAGTGTTGAGCTAGTGGGTTTTCCAACGGAAGCAAGTGAACCTCTATTACCACCAAGAGAATTTGTATTTGCACGACCTAAAGAACCACGTCCTGTTGAACCACCAATTTGACATCCAGATTCCATTGATTGTGATCCAGAAGTATTATGACCTGATTGTCCGTATCCTATTATAAAGGTAGATAAATGATTATAATTTATTTATAATTTAGACATAGATGTGTGTGTGTATATATATATATAATGTAATATTTTTACATACCAGAATGGATATTGTATGTAGTCATAGAATATACTGCATCATTTCCAAAACCTCCATCATCTTGAGATCCAGTTCCACCTGATGAACAACCTTGACCACATCTTCTTCTTACTCTGGAATATAAATATTGGTCATATTTTGTATTCATAATATATAATCAATCCTATGTATATGTTCTATTGAGACTATACCTTCGCCACAATTTTAATACAGTCGATTTAATGGTACCAAAACTTAAAGGACCTCCAACTATGGAACATAACTGTTCATTAGTTTCTGCATAACTTGTGGTTAATGGCGAAACATAAATTGGATATCCAATTGGTTGATCACAAGAACTATTAATTATATTTCTTAATGCCTGTTTTGCGTTCTGTATAGAACCACGTTCAGGATTTCGATTTCTTAAATATACTAATTCTTGCTGTTGACCAGCCCAAAGACCACGAACACATTCACGATTCATTTTAATTACTCGAAAGCTTAAGTAACGTTTATTAAGCATTATTACTTTATATTCATCAATGCCATCATCAAGTACATGCCTAAGAAACAATATGTAATCAAATACTATTAAATATCTTACATTTAAATAGTTTAATATACAATGAGTCATAAGAGTATTCGTACCCCATACTCACTGTAAATTTTAAATAATATTTTTTCAATTTATAGTAGTGGTAACAATATTCCTGTGACTCACTATATCTGAAAAAAAAAAAAACAAAAAAAAAAACACATTTTATTTACCTAAGTGCCAAAAGACTAGGTGCTCCACTTAAAACAGCATTTCTCCATAAAGGATCAGCTTCGTGACTAATCACAAGATTTTTATCATGATTGTCGATGGCTTCATAAAGAGCACAACATTCTATATATTGTTCCGAACTCATAAAATGATCTTGATGTAATTTCAAGGCCATCCTTACACCTTTAGCTACAACACTTCTCAGTAATTCAACATCATGAAGTACCCATTCGTCACGCGGTGATGTTATCCGAAAATCTCCTGTATTACAATAAAATATATGAATATTATTTTAATATTTTCTAAAGTCAAATAAAATGAAAGAAATATAAATATGTAATATAGCAGACCTTTAAATAGTGCATGAAGACCATATAAAAAGAATTCAACACTTGATACAGTGTTGTGAGAAGCTGCTCCTAAAACTCGTCTTCCTAAAAGACTTAATCCCAGACAAAGTGATACTAGATTTGAATCACGTGTTTTTTCTAATGTCTGAAAATAATATGTACAATACAAGATCAAAACAAACTTAAAAATAATCGTATATTATATATATATATATATATAAAATGAATAGAATACAAAAGTATTATACCTTGTCATGTTTTGTTGCACAATATTGTATCCAATCAAGATAAACATTACAAAAACTACTTCTTGTAATACCACTTGCTCGAAAGTCAAAATCTTCGTCAATGTTCATATTGAAAACTGGGTCAAGATCCGCAAAATTTTTGTCCAATGTTGTTTTAAGTGCATCAGCAATATCTTGATTTTCCAACCAAGTTTTTAATTTTGGAGACTTAAGAGCATAGAAAACAATACTTTTGACATAGTAAGTAATTAATACTTTACGAAATTCATAAACT